CCACGGTTCGTGCTCTTACAGCCTGGTGCTCACGTGCCTTTCCTCGGCCCACTTAAGTCGTAGAGTTTTCACTTTTTTGAGTGAAATATTCCTATAACTTACTCATGTTGTTAGGAACATTTGACTATATATGATTTATTTATTTTTTTAGAGATGCACCGATATGAAAATTTTGGCCGATAACCGATAATTCTTTATTTATGAAAGCTGATAACCGATATATTGGCCGATAAATTTGATTACACATTTGTATATCATTTTTCAGAGCCTGATTACAAAAACAACAGTCTCACCATTGTCCCAAACACATTATATATCATGTTCTCATTATAGTTGTATGTAGCCGATATGACTTGCGTTGCACTGAACCGTACTTTCCTTTTTTTTTAATGATTCCAATCTTATTTCAAGCAGCTCAAACCCATCATGTTGATCAGTGCGCATCTGAAGAGTCTCAGCTGAAGGACATAATACATACTTTAATATATCAGCCAAATTTTATTATTGGGCCGATAACATTAAAAATGAACATAAATCGGCCGATATCGTGCATCCCTAGACTTTTTCCTTCAGTTGAACACAAGACGCACTTTCCATACAACGGGTAAAAGGTAAATTGCACGAATTACCATGGAAGAAAGAAAATCACATCATTTGTAACCGTGCGAGGGCGAAGTGTTGACAGCGTCTTCATTTTCTTTTCTTTTTTTGGTCACCCACCCCAACTGCAGATGTCTTGATGTAGCTTCTCACAGATGGGCTGCTGTTTTTAACAAGCAAGTGTTAATAAAGTGAATCTCAATCATAAGGCTTTGTGGCGAACTGTAGTGCATCTAGATGTTCCCCTTCCCCACAGTATAACTCAACATAACTCCCTGTTCAGCACTGGCCTTTCACAGCTTCTGTTTTCCTCAAGTTTTCTTCTTTTTTTAAAATATATTATCAGATATTTAATAATTTTCTACATTGTTTAGAAAATTCAATGACCTCCAGCTGTCCGAATTCTGTCATTAAACGGGTGTAAAGCTAAGAAAGCGTACTTCCAGTTAGTGCTGCTTTGTCTTGGCAAAGCGCACTAATAAATAAACAGCTGGTTTGAATTGCACTTGCAGATTTTTGGCTGCTCTCAAACCATTAAAGCACTAATTACTACCTTTTGGAAAGGATGTTAAACTCTTGTTGGACTTTGCCCCTTGTTTGTGAAGTAGCTGTAACCGCAAAGAGTGTGGTGACCCGAGTCAGTGCTGTAATATTGATCTCGGTGCTCAAACGCCCTCGGGCCAGAACCGAGCGCTGGGGGGGGTTGTTCATTGTGCGAGGCAGAGCATCAAAGGCGAGCCGCGTCTGAGCCGCGCATGGGCAGGAATTCGGCACACTCCCGCGGGCCGAGCGCTGGCTCTTTTGTTGTGGGATCTGCACTCACACACATGGTAATTAGACTCAAGCTTGCGGGGGAGGCTTGAAGACCGAGGGAAAGTAAGCGCACGAGAGATTAAGAAACGCATGTTGGCAGAAAATTGCTTTGGGAAGAGTTTTAGCATGTTTAAAAGGACGTTTCGTGGGTGTGGCGCCCAGCGAGGTCGTCTCAGAAGCGACTAGCCGAGACCAGTTTTACAGGTTCAGAAACTGGGGGGTGCGGGGGTGTGTGTGTGTGTGTGTGTGTGACATCAGACGGCCAGCACCGATCCGCACCGCTCACGTCTGTTCCAACGGGTTAAATGTGTTCAGACCTCATTCTGTTCCTATCCAACGGTGCACACTTTTAACCCACGTTTTTGCCTTTTTCAGTTTCACCTGTGTTAATGTCAGCTGCACACATTTAGGCACAGGTGTGTATTTCATTGGAATTAATAAATCTATTTTACACTAGTAACACACAATAGTTCCTCTCAGGACCTTCAGGACAAAAATCTCCCCATTGAAACCCATTAAAACTGCAATTTTTAATCCCTGAGCCGTTTAACTATAAAATGATGCAATCTTAGTTAATAGGCTTTAAAGCTGTTGGCAAGTCTTCAAAATTAAAATTTTACTTTTTTTCTTTTTTTTTCCCAGTTGGAGCCATTTTCTCAGGTTTGGCCTATAAAGCAAAAACTCTCTTTATTCCTGTTTTCTGCTTATGCATATTATAGAGCCAATTGGATAAAGTGTGTGTGTGTGTGTGTTGGTGTGGATGTCAGAGGGGTGTTTGTGGGGGTGAGGGGAAAAAATCGATTCATATATGAATATTGCTTCTATCTTCTACATATTGCATCGATTCACAAATTTAAAAAATCGATTCTCTAAAGCATTACACCTCTTTAACTTTGCAGTACTACTTAAAGTTTCTTAAAGGGGTGGTATAATGCCCTTTTCACAAGATGTAAAATAAGTCTCTGATGTCCCCAGAGTGTGTTTGTGAAGTTTTAGCTCAAATACCCCACAGATATTTTTATATAGCATGTTAAAGTTGTCACTTTTAGAGGGTGAGCAAAAACACACCGTTTTGTGTCTGTCCCTTTAAATGCAAATGAGCTGCTGCTCCCGGCACAGGGGGCGGAGCTTCAAGAGCTCCTGTCCTGAACTTCGAAAACGTTTAGCCTTTTATGTTCAAACCGGAGTCAGACAAAGATGGAGAGACTCAAGAAGAGGTGACATGTAGAATGGTTAGTTGATGAATTTATGTTGCTGATGTGGAGTTAACGATCTTCTAGTCATTGATTAGCATATTCTGTCATGATAATCTATAAATCACGTTCCCGGGGGCGGGGTTTATGTAAATTTTAGGGTTAGTGATGTCGCCTGTAAAAGCAAATTTGCTTTTCTTTGAACTTTGAGCGTTGTAACTTTCCAGATGTTTATGCTCAAACAGCAACATTACACACTAACTAAAGCTAGAAAAGTGAAATCATAATCAACCCCCCCTTTAAAGTTATTGAGGTTAATCACAATAAGCCGTGAACAAGGACTGAAGGCGGTGCTCGCGCGGACGGACACACAGATGAAGCAAATGAAAGACTGAAATCTTTGAGCCCTATATTAAAAATCTATTCATATATGAATCGCGATTCTATCTTCTACCGAATTGTATCAATTCATAAATTTAAAAAATCTATTTTCTAAAGTGTTACACTTCTTTAACTTCGTAGTACTAAACGTTTCTTACAGTTATTCACAATAAGGCAGCACATGTCTCTCACATGCGATCGCACATTCATTACCCTTTCACAGATACACACACGGTTATGTCAAAGTGCACATTATGTGGAGTATTCAGTGTAAACAGAGTCTGTATGTCCTACGCGAACGAAAACAAATGGGAGGAATTCGGATGTGTAACAGTATATTAGATCGGTGCATTCAGTCTTAAAGGGACAGCAGCCTCATAAACTGTGGCCTTCACTTTCACTAACATTAATAAAAACACACTGCTTTTGACTGAATCACTTTTTTATCTTTAATATGAATCAATTTATATTTAATTCGTACAGGGAAGACTTTTTAATTTTACATTTGATTATTAAATTTCGGTAGTATTTCTTACTACATGTTAAATAAACCTATTCTACTGTACCTGAAAAACTTTATTTAATTTGTATATATATTTTTTTTCTATTGTATTTGTCCTATTGTTTGTAATTTGCTTCTTTGCTCCTATTTTTGTATTGATTGTACATTATGATTGCAGTCAGCTTAAAGGACATTAGTTATATAATATTGGGTTGACTAAAATGGGAAGAAAAACTAAATAAATTTCCAGGTTCACATGTAATTCAGTAGGATTGTTCTTCTAGAGCTATTAAACGGTCTACCGCAGTCACATAAGAAAAGCAACACAAAACACTAAACTACAATCAAAAAGCACATATCGAATCGAAATTTGATTCAAAATCGAGAATTGTTTTTAAATTGAATCGTGACCTCAAGAATCGCTTCGAATCGTGAGGTACCAAAAGATTACCACCCCTACTTGGTACCATCCAGTCTTAAGTATTGAAAAACACACTTTGACATATAATGCAAGTTATATAATATTGATTTACAAAGATTTTTTTTTTTTAATCTGGAGGATAAAGTTATATAAATTAAGTTAAAGTTTAGGAAAAAGTTCAAGATTGTACTCTGAACTCAACCAATACAGCACACGGGCGTCTCAGTGTTACGAGCATGATTCATTCCCAACCGTCTGCTTGTTTAAGTGAACTGTTGTGAAACGAGTTTTTAATTATCATTAATGTACGTCGTAGAACAGCAGCATTCTTTGTCCACGTGAAATTTGACCTTTTAGTTAGAAAAATTGCACGTCATCTTTTAAAAGCGAGATGTTGCATATTTATGAAACGGTACTTAAAAAGTGCTTGAATTATTGAAAGACAATATGATATTAGTGTTTAATTGTGTTGATAAAATAATCTTTTCACACAAAATCAATGCTGTAACTCGTCTGATATGGATATTTATATGAACAATATCACACTCATAGCCATGCAAAATGCCTTTATCCAAGTATATGATACATCTTTCATTCTTCAGGTCAATCATATGTTCATGGGTGAAAAAAATCAGTTTTTGAATAAGAATAATGATATCTTTGTCATAGTTCCCTTTCAATGTTTAAAGTAATCAGTCATTGCTTGTGTTGCACTATATTTGTACCATTTTGCTTTATTAGTTTATTTTTGTTTATCTCTTTGTTTGTTTTTTTTTATTTGAAAGATAATAATGATATTGTTTGATAAGTGATATCTCTGATTGTAGTCCTTGAAAACCAAAAAGTAGTCCTTAAAGTCTTTGAATTTCATTTTACAGTGTCTGTACGAACCCTTAATTGTGATTTAACGATTGAACTCTTTTTGTTTGTCACTTACAGTGCACGCCTAACACATTATTATTTTTAACTTTAAATCATATATGATGTAATTATAACTAAACGGGTCCATATTTAAACATGAATGCTGTGAAAATAAATATTGATATTGCATGAAATCTAATGCATGATTTGTTCTGTCTTCTGTGTGCAGTTACAGGAGACGGTGAAGAGGAAGTTGGAGAGCGCTGGTTCGCCTCTCGCCCGTGAACCGGTCAACGGCTTCAGCGACGGCTACCCGCCCAAGAAGAAGAGCTGTGTTGAGGACACACTCGGGGCTCGTAACGGGGTCTCGAACGGCACAGTGCCTCCTCTCTCACCAATGGACACTAAACATAATGTGATGGCCAATGGGAACCACAGAGCGGAGCACAACGAAGCCGGCATCGCCGATAGTGGTGCGTCTCGCGGCTCGGACTCAGATTTCCGCTTGCTAAAAGAGATGAAGCAGGAGCCGGTGGACGATATATTACCCTGCATTCTCCCCTCAGGGGGGACAACCGGGAGCAACAGCCTTTTCCCCGACCTCAACCTGGACGACCAGGACTGGAGTGAGATCATGGAGGAGTTTAATCGCTCCGTACCCTACGAGGACATACAAGAGCTCTTCAGCGTCAGTTTCGGTGACCGCAAAGACCCGGAGCTCACGTCCGGTGCAGCTCAGAGCTTAATCCCACCGGATCTAGCCAACGTAAAGACTGAGTTCTCCCCCGCGTTCGACCAGGAGTCCTGCAACGGTTCCCCTCAGGTGAGACCCACCTCATCTGGACCTCCACTTCACACCAGCTCTCCTGTGTCGGCTCCGGCCACATCGCCTGTGCAACAGCCCACCAGACAAATCCCAAACCACATGCTCCCCGTCCCGCCTAAAGACCTGTCCCCCGCGCAGCAGCTCCAACAGTTAGCGGCACGCGAACAGCAGAGAGCCATATTACAGAGCCAGCAACACGTGGTTCAGAAGCCTCCGCCGCCAACGCAACAAAAACCACAGTCGCAAACGCCGAAATTCCACCCGCAACCAAACCACTCAACATCATGGCCCCAAAATCCCCCCAACCAAAGTCAGATGAGTGGGACGTTTAGGCTCGAGAAGCCGACGAGTCCTTCTCTGTACCCGCAAGACTTCCCGAACCCCAAGGCCATGCTCATGCCGAACAAGGGCTCTCCTAAAGCGGGCGCTCCGGCCGGCTACATGCAGCCCATGCTCAGCCACGCGCCCAACCCCGCGGCCCAGGCGGCCATGTTGGACTACAGCAACACTAAACCCCTGTCCCATTACGAGGCGGTGGCGTCCGGGGCTCCCCGGGGTCCTGCGACCGCACAGAGCCAGAGCAAGCAGAGCCAGGCCATCCTGAACCTGATGCGGCACCAGCAGATGCAGAAGCCGAGGCCAGCCGGCATGAGCTTCAGGCCAGCACACCTACAGCACGCTCCGGTGAGACCCCTTTAACACCTCAACCTAGTTTAGCTCACACAAACACGAGTCTACCCTTGTGTCGTTCCTAACCCAAACGCTCTGTAACGGTAAGACCCACTGAAGGCCTCACATCTGTAGCATCTTACCTGGGGTTTTAAAGAGATCGTTCACACAAACATGAAACTCTTCCGTTTACCTTCTTCCTCGTGTCGTTCCAAACCTTCAGATTTAAAATTTCCTGACGATTTACTTGCTCCCACGTTATCTAAGATGTTCTTGTGTTTCTTTCTTCAGTGGAAAAGAAATGAAGGTTTTTGAGGAAAGCACTCCAGGATGTTTCTCCATATAGTGTCTTCAATGGGGTCCAACGGGTCGAAGGTCCAGATGTGAGTTTCAGTGCAGCTTCAGAGTCTCGACACGATCCAGCCGAGGAATAAGAGTCTGATCTAGACAAACCAGCCGACATTTATAACAAAATACACATTTATATACTTTAATCCACTAATGCTGGTCTTGCACTCGCTGTGATGCGACACACATTACGCGATCAGGCTGAAAGGTCAAGCGTGTTCCGGTTTATAAATGAAGGGAAGGGCGAAAAACTCTCAATTTCTCCTCCAACTTCTGACATCGTTGTTTTACTTTTTATTTTATACATTTTTGTAAATAGCGTTTGACTTAGTCTTTGCAGGTTGGCTCTGTAAACACTGGGTCTGTTCTTACACCTACGTCACGCTTGACCTTTCACCCTGATCACGTAATGTGTGTCGCATCACAGCGAGTGCAAGACCAGCATTAGTGGATAAAAGTATATAAATGTGTATTGTGTTATAAATGTCGGCTGGTTTGTCTAGATCAGACTCTTATTCCTCGGCTGGATCGTGTCGAGACTTTGAAGCTGCACTGAAACTCACATCTGGACCTTCGACCCGTTGGACCCCATTGAAGTCACTATATGGAGAAACATCCTGGAGTGTGTTCCTCAAAAACCTTCATTTCTTTTCCACTGAAGAAAGAAACACAAGAACATCTTGGATGGCATGGAGGAGGTGAGGAAATTTTAAATCTGAAGTGAACAAATCTTTTAAGATGTTGTTTATAATGAAGCCTGAGAGATTTCTGTCCCTTCAAGTCTAGGTAACTTAGAAGATTAAAAAAGGTCATAAAGGCATTCAAGCAGTTTAATCCAAATCTTCTGAAGAGATGTGAGGAACGGATTTCATTTAGGCTTTTATTTACATCTAAATCAATGCGCTCTATGTATGTTTATATGTGAATAAATTACTAATTTAAATCTATTCAAGATATAAACCAACTATATCTCTTCACAAGACCTTGATTGACATCGGCCTGATTTCACAGACAGGGTTTAGATTAAAGATGCAGTGTGTGATATTTAGGAGGATCTGTTGACCGAATGCAATATCATAAACATAACTATGTGTTCAGTGGTGTATAAAGAGCTTACATAATGAAGCGTTATGTGTTTATTAGCTTAGAACGAGGCATTTCTCTCTACACACACCGCGGGTCCGCTTACACACACACGTTTCTACGGTGGCCCTGAGCGGACACATGCGTTTCGTCACTGTTGTTCTTCATGATGAGAAGCTGCTGAAGTCAGCGAATAAAACACTGACACACTGATGAACAAGCAACAATAATACTCGCAGTAACACTTTTTTACTGAATAAAAAAATCCATGAAGAAAATCATCAGGGAACGTAAACGATGGGGAACTAATCCTTTAAATAGTGGTAGCATGTGTCAATTAATGTTCTTTAATTTAATAAGTTATTTTAGTTTTTGGGGAAGAAAATGCAGTTTATTGTCCAAATGATGAAATCATTTTTAATATAAAAATTATGTACACAGACTTTTCACAATGTATTTAGAGGAGGCATAAATGCAATCCAGTAATGACCCTAACTTTAGAAATACTAAACACACAAAAGTATCATATTTCATTCACTGGTTTATTTAAAAATACTTCTGACAAATCTCAATATGTATTTTTAACTACATGTTGACTTAAGATTCAGTGTTTAGTTATTAACTCTTTCCCCACCGGCAGCATTCTTGATCATTTTCACACAACTTTCATGCCCCCCAGAATATGTTGTTGTACGAGTATCTGAACGTGCAATATATAAAAAGAAACAATAGAGCCTCTGCTTTTAAACATTTTATTCAAGCTGCATGCATTCTTTTTTATTTATTTTTAATCAACACTTGAATGTGGGTAAGTTTCATTAAAAAAGCAACATTTTGAACAAAAAGCTGAGAAAATCGCATTTTTGTCAAAGACTACGTCTAGATGGGATTGAGCTCTGATCATAAACGCAGATGTAGTCGATCGAGTCCATCAACACCTCAACGCTTCAGTCGTTTCCTCTTCATGTTCAACATTTCATTCAGTAACATTAGGCAGTTCAGTGTTCGATGATCACGTTATTTTAGCAGTGCTTCTCTCGCTTGTTTCTGCTTCTTCTCCTGTGTTTTGATCCGGAGATCCAGTCCTCTTTCAGAAGGCGTGTAACAGCGCCCCCTACCGTACAACAGTGCTGTAGATTGCTGGGAAAGTTGTTACGCGTGTGCTTCTGCTGCGGTGCGCGTACAGCACGTGTGGCGTGAGATTCATGTCAGATCTGCCGGCGTTCACAGAAAGGGCTCTTCTGTTTGCCAGATCTCGGTCACGTGTGTGATCGTGTCAGAGCTTGTTCCTGCCTTTCATCTGCTTTTGCTGAGACTCACGTCACTGTGCTAGAAATGCCCCATCATGATTCGCAATAATGAGTGGTTACTAATCACTGAAACTCACGTGTTCAAGCAGAGTAGGTCAAATGTTATTGTTTGGTCCTAGTGTTATAAATCCATGCAAAATGATTGTGAATATTCAGAGTGACGCGTACAAATGTCTGAATGTCTTTGCAATACAATAACTTGTTGTTATTACAGTCTTTCTGCATAGCCACAGTGGAAATGAGGCGCTCAGATTAGACAGTGTGAAAGTGTAAAAGTGAAAGAAAGGAGAGTTGTTCAGGGATGTCCTTGACAATCCAGTCACTCACACCCAGCCCGTCTTGTGCTGGGAGAAGAACAACTATTTCTCTTAATTAATGACATTTCCAAGCGTAGTATTGCTTTACAGTGCACTTGAAGTGGATGCTACATTTATTCCCTCAGTCAAAGACCTGGAAACACACACTAAAGCCCTTTATGAGCCGAATAGCTGGTGGACACTCCTCATCCGCTAACCTTGGAGATAACTGTGGCAGAAGGGAGTGTCTGAGGGATAAATATAACTCCCCTCAGCGCAGACGTAGCTGATTATAACTACAAATAAGACGTTTTGTAAGATACTTCATCCATATAATTGCTGTACAGAGAGGAAAAAGAAAGTGAACGCGGATGTTCGAATGAATTAAAGATGCAAATACAAATCTGGATGTGCTTTGTGTGAATGATAACGCAAGCTCACTGTTGAATCAGTAGCACAATGAAACAGAACACACTAAGGTTAATCGGAAACTCAATTGACGTCGCAGGGAGTTTGATTGACAGGCGATCTGACCAATCATAATCCGACATTTTTGTCCGTCAAAGCAGTCAGGAGAGCTAGTAGACTAATGTTGGAGGATTTGAACTTGAGAAACGGTGTCCTGACGTCACGGTTATAACAGCATTCCTTCTGATGTTCAGTCATGTTTATCTGATGCTGTAATGAACTAGAAGGAAGAGATGATCGGTTCACGAGACGCTTTAACTGAGCGATCTGTCAGACACATTAAACAGCCGCAAAACGGTATTTATTGTTTACATTTGTTTAAAAAATGACCAAATTTGAAAGTTGAGACTTTGTTTCATATCAGAAATAATCTGGTCTGTCCTGTGTCAGTGTGTGTTTCACTGCGTGAGAACATGGTGTGTGTGAGAGAGAGAGGCGTGGCTTGTCGGACATAGCAACAGTAACTAAAGGGGGCGGGGCTTTGCGAAAGTCAATTTAGACATCTGTCTTAAAGTCTTCATGAAAGGGAAGTTGTGCTGGTCTTTTCTCCTCTGTTGTGTCGTATATCGAGTGAAACGCTTCAGGAACAAGAACACATGTGGGCGGGGCTTGATTGTGTCTGTGGGGAATTGATTGGATGGTTGTGGTTTGCTATTGGCTGATCTCATGTGAGTGACAGGTTATAGCCCCGCCCTCATCATCAGAGAAGAGAAGAGATGCTGCAAGTCGAGTCGAGATTACCAGGAACATGAGTTTAAAACAATAATGTCAGGGCTCGACATTAAGCCTTTATTTATGTGCTTTAATTTATTCTGAAGCAATATTCGTATCACTCAGCTTTGACACATTTTAAATCTGCATATTTTTGATACTTTACTTTAACTTTAACCCCCGCCACCCGAACCCGCCACAAATCTTTTTATATATATATGCCTGATCAAATTTAACAATTTAAAATGAAAGATGAATGAGGTAAATTAGAATAATAAGACACTAGGGTTGTTACAAATCAAATTAAATAAATTACAACTGCATTAAATAATGTTATGAGATTGTTTTGAGTTATTTTTTTAATATACAAATAAGAAATGTTGGAAAGAATGATACTTTTAAACATGTAACACTAAACCGCCAGTAGGAGGCGGCAGACGCCCGTTTTAATGAGCGAGTCATTGAGTCATTTATTCAAACGATTCGTTCAAACGGCTGATTCGTTCAGGAATGAGACATTGTTTGTGAATGGGTCATTGAATCTTTGACTCTACCGAATCATTCAGTGCTTTGAACGAATCGCTAATGAAACGCGGTTGAGTGTTGCTGTGAGATGCGCTGTGATCTTTGTTTGATTTTGTTCTATTTCAGCAGCGAAAATAGTTCCTGTCAATATTGCAACTAAAATGTAATGTAAACTTAATATTAATTACTTGTTTGTTGAACTGTCATATGTTTTGTATGTCGAGCCCTGGATGTGATTCTATGGGGACTTTATCGTGCATGAGTCTTAAAGAAA